AGCTGGGAACATGCACATCAGGAGACTCACTTTTTTGCCACTCTGCGCATGCCCATGAATGACCACAAAAGCTCTGCAAGTATTGATTTTGGGGTTACAAATAAGTTCTGGCTAGGAGGTAAGTTAGCTAGTATGGAATCAAGAAATAGTGAAGATTGACTATATTTGTTAGCAGCATTTCATCACCCGGATCCTTCTATGCCTGAAACCAGTAAAGCCCTTTCAATGAATTCCTTTTTCACCCAAGCCAGTTGGAGATGGCTTTTCTGTCACTTGAGCCCAGGCTGGTTTAACAGCCTCTCTTTTCTTTTCTTTCTTTTTTTTTTTTTCTTTTTTTGCTTTCTTGTTACCGGTAAGGGGAACGTAACCCTTGGCTTGGTGTCGCACGCACTGCGCTCAGCCAGTGAGCGCACCGGCCATCCCTATATAGGATCCGAACCCGCGGCCTCGGCGCTCCCAGCGCCGCACTCTCCCGAGTGAGCCACGGGGGCGGCCAACACAGCCTCTCTTTTCTTTTCTTTCTTTTTTTTTTTTCTTTTTTTGCTTTCTTGTTACCGGTAAGGGGAACGTAACCCTTGGCTTGGTGTCGTACGCACTGCGCTCAGCCAGTGAGCGCCCCGGCCATCCCTATATAGGATCCGAACCCGCGGCCTCGGCGCTCCCAGCGCCGCACTCTCCCGAGTGAGCCACGGGGTCGGCCCACACAGCCTCTCTTTTCTGTATGCATAGAGATCTTTGGAAGACTCTGGCTCCCCTAACTGGCCCTTCGAACCCTCTAGAATCCCCTGAGTCCTCAACATCTAATCACCCCTACAAAAAGAAAGTTCAGTCTTTTCCAGGCATTGTTTACGGAGAGATTTTCCAGGTTTGCATCAGAGTTACTCAGCTTGAGATGACAAGCACTGTCAAAATAAGTGCTTGAAAGGAGCGGCATTCTTCTGAGAGCCACAGTAAAAGCACATCAGCAGTGTCTGCCTCATCCCACTGCCAGTTCAAGTCCTGGAGAATGGACAGGCTTTCTGCACGGCTCTTGAGCTCCCAGGGCCAATGCCGCCCCTCTTCTGACATGTGCTGTCAGTCAGCAATGAAGGGGGTCCCAGGGACGGGCTCAGTAACGCCGTGGGCTCATGGCCTTGAGCCATGGGACTTGGTTCTGTTTGGTTCTTGCACCAGCTTCTAGTCCCTACCTCCAACTTCCCACCGTTTCTTACATTGGTGAATTAAATCCTACACTGGGGACTTGGGCAACGGTCGAATCAGAGCCAGAAGGAGCCTTAGAAATTTCTTGGGCTGAGGTAAGGAGAATGAGGGTCAGAGAAGAAAGGAACCTGTCAAGATCACTAAGTGGAAACAGAACAAGAACGGGGCTCCCCACTCCCTTCCCAGCACTGTCTCTACTAGCAACGCTGCTGTTGCTAGGTGAGGCCTCCGCCCATTCTCTGTCAACACTGATAAATTCTAGTTTGTATTCACGGACAAACGGAGTCATCGCACTGGTCCACCCCATTCCATGGCGCTTCTGAGCCAGCTTTACATATATCTTCTCACCCACCCTTTGTCACCACCTCCCCTGCTAGGGAAAGGTTTAATTCAACAAAGAGCTCCACCATCACCATCACCCCAGATACTGCAACCCCCTGCAAGCATGGCTGTTCTGGGGTCCCTGAGCCGGCATGGGAGTCTGCAGACCCCACTGTAGTTAGGCTTCCTATCCCCACTGCGCTCACACAAACCTCCACTCACTCAGTACAGATGACCCTGCAAGTCTAGTGAATGAGACATGGTCTCACTACTGACCGAGAGGCTCAGAAAACGGACACATCCCACTGCGGGAAGGGGTCAGGCCACCCTAGTTAAACCACCCCCATTCTGGCAGGCCTTGCTTGGCTCCCTGCCCCCATGTCTTCCCAGCCTGACTCCCCAAAGTGGACCATGTCCCCTCTTTCTGGGCCTAAAACCACACAAGTTCCGGAATGGGAAGGTTTGAGAGACTCTAGACCAGTTATCGAAGGCATCAAATTACCTCTGAGCCTTTTTAATACAAGTGTTTATTACACCTGCACTTTGGCTGGTTACATATGAAGCCCAGCTCCTGCCCTGTGCTGAGCACCAGGGGAAGCCCAGGACCTGTCTGTGCAGCAGCCCTGCTATAGGGAGCTCCTCAAAGCCTTCTCCAACAAGGTCAGCAAGCATTTATGTTGTATGTCCTGGGAGAGTCATCATACTCTCTGTGGCTCCAAGAGAGACCCTATCCTCTCTTCTGTCCTAAAATTAGAACCTACTTCTCCAGACCTGTCTTGTTCCTCACAGAAGAGGCTGGCCAGAAAGAGCTCAGAGGCCCCGCTGTTCACCGTTCACTGGGTCTTCTCCGGCATCTTGGAGGACTCCCTCCACTGCAGCAGCTCTGGCTGCCATGGCCACCACCCAGCGTCCTCTCCAAGGACATTTCCACCCAAATGCGGTTCACACTGCTGCTTTAAACTCTGCCAGACACCTTAAGATGCATTTACATGGACAGACATGTCCACCCAACTCTGGTCAGCCAGTTAGCTACACCCAAGGCCAGAGGCATTCTTGACCACCACTTCCCCTGCCATCTGCTGGGTTTCAAAAAGCCACATCCTATGGTCAATTACAGAGGTCTGGAGGAAGACGGCTCTTTCCAGAGAAGGTGATTTCAGCTGTCCTGTTTTCTCCCCATTTATATCCCTCCCAAACCTGTAACTTTATAGGGTATGTCCCTTAGGATTTCTAGATTGAGTTCTCTAATTCAGCCCAGGGACTGGGGCGGCACGGCGAGTTTTTCCGAGTCTGTTTTAGCATCATTGTTTTACAAGCACGTCAGAGCTCACTGCAGGAGATGCAGAGATAAGTAAGACACAGACTCTGTTCTCAACCTTAATTCTCTGTCCTCTTCATCCCTTTATACATCCTTGATCACCAACACTGAGAATTACTATTATCCTTCAGAAACAGCTGCACTTCTGCAGCTCTGGACAAAATCTGATTTAGTGTTATGGGTAGAACTGTATCCCCCAAACAAAATTCATATGCTGAAGTCCTAACCCCCAGTACCTCAGCATGTGATTGTATTTGGAGATAGGCCCTTTAAAGAGGTCATTAAGTTTAAATGAGGTCACATGGGTGGGCCCTAGTCCGATAGGACTGGTGTTCTGATAAGAAGAGGGAGACAGCAGGGATGTGTGTGCAGAGAGACCATGTGAGGACACAAGAAGGTGGCTGTCAGCAAACCAAAGAAAGAGACCTCAGAAGAAACCAAGTCTGCTGACACCTTGATCTTGGATGCAATGGACTGAATGCTTAAGTCCCCCCCAAATTTATATGTTGAAATCCAAGCTCCCAAGGTGAGAGTATTAGAAGGTGAGGCTTTTGGGAGGTGATTAGGTCATAAGGGCTGAGCCCTCCTGATGGGATTAAAGCCCTTATAAAGGAGACCCCAGATAGCTAGCTAGTCCCTTCCACCATGTGAGGACACAACTAGCAGGCACCATTTATGAACCTGAAAGTGGGCCCTCACCAGACACCATATCTGCTGATGCCTTGATCTTAGACTTCCTAGTCTCTAGAACCGTGAGAAATAAATTATTGTTTAAAAGCTACCCAGTTCATGGTATTTTGTTACAGCAGCCCAAATGGACTAAGATATTGGACTTCCAGCATATAGAACTATGAGAAAATAAATTTCTTTTGTTTGTCACCTGGTCTGTGGAATTTTGTTATGGCAGCCTGAGCAGACTACAATGAGCAAAACGCAGACTCACTTATTTATCAGGCTCCTGCTGAATGCCTAAAACGCGCAAAGTAGTGAGTTAGGCACTACGGGGCAGACACACAAGTAAGTGAGAGTCCAACAGCTTACAGACTCACTTATTTATCAGGCTCCTGCTGAATGCCTAAAACACGCAAAGTAGTGAGTTAGGCACTACGGGGCAGACACACAAGTAAGTGAGAGTCCAACAGCTTGCAATAAGGTTGGGGAGAATGACACAGCACAAATATATTTGTCATCCAGCAGAATGCAAACATTTTGGTATAGTGCTTCAACAACTCTTGTTTTAAAAGTGCAAATTTGTTCCAATGTGATTGACATACTCGGGAACAATTGAGCATACTGTGAATTTTGTGTTTGCTTATCTGTGAGAAATACTAGATGAAGACAGAAAACTGCACCCAGCTGAACCAAGCCACATAACAATACACAAAATTCACTCACCTTGGGCATCCACCAGCTCTCTCAGTTCACTGCACGTAATAAGCCACACTCGTCCACATCTGGTGTTAAAACTCTTCGTCTAATTTCACATGACTTTCTTTCCACCATTTCACAGTAACACACAAACGGCAATACTTTCTGAGACCCATTTCCACAAGCAAACCACAGTGCCATGTTTATAGTAATATTTATAAATTTCTTAACCATTTAATGTGTAAAGCTGTGCTACCATTTTAAATGGTTCCTGTTTTTGCTTTTACCTGCTACTGACAAATTATTGAGTGTTGTGCTCTTAACCCACTTCCCCCCCATAAATCCTGTAGTTCTTATTGCATGATTGTGTATACTGCAGTGATTTTTAAGAACATGTATGTTATAGCAGAATGACTGTATTTAAATGTTTCAATAAGGAACTACATTTCAGGTAACTAAGGCCTGGGTAATGAGTGTCTATGATCAGGATCACAAATAATCACACACTTGATGCATAAACCTCACTACACAACATGAGGATCTGACTAATGTATCAATGGCGACTCCTAGTGGCAATGTACACTAATTGCAGGTAAAATACAGAAAAAGTGATGTATTAAAAATGGATTTTTAAAATGTTATCGAGTGAATAAAGCCATACATGAGCCAAGTCAAATACTCATATATCCACTCACCTTTAGGTAGCTTTTTTATAATCTCCAGCTTCCTGGTCTGTTTACTGAAATAATTTTTTTCTAGAGTCAAACATCTTCACAGAGGGAGCTACACTGACCTGTCATTGAGTTTTCTGAGGTGCACAGCTGCTCTCTCAGCTTCTCCACATCATCAGGATGTACTTGTTCATAGAGAGTACTCCCAAACCACTCTGACTGGGGCTGGTTCAGAACGGGGGTGACAGAGTCAGACACATAAATCACTCGTCCTGTCTCAGCTGCCACTACAAACAGAAATCCATCAGCTGCTTCAAGGATGAGATGCTTCAGCTCCTGGGAAGAAAAGATTATGATGAGCACAACCCACTGACAGACCCAAGCCAGTTAAACTTTCTTATTAGCAATCTTCAACTTCTTTTATTTAGATATTCATTCTAGTATGCAAATAGTTTGGGAAATGTTGAGTGCTTTTTTTTTTTTTTTTACTGGGAAATGAGCTAGAAAAATGCACAAAGCATGCACCATCCCTAAGATACAGCTACTCTAAACACTGTTAGCCCTGTCTTAACCAGTCCTTTCTTAGGGAGAGAGGATAGTTCCAGCCCAGTGGAATAGGAGAGGAAGGAGCAATCACCAGAAGATGCTGGATTGCCAGAGGTGTGAACAGCCTGACTCACACATTCAAACTGCAGTCACGTCACTGGAGCAGAAAAGCATGGCACAAAGTGTGTGGCACCAAAGGTGCTGGATGGAAGGAAGAAAAGGAAAATGGGAAGGTGAGAAGAGAGAAGGAAGGGGACCATGTGTTCCCCACCCACAGCGTGACAGTACACTTTTTCGTCACTGGAGCAGAAAAGCATGGCACAAAGTGTGTGGCACCAAAGGTGCTGGATGGAAGGAAGAAAAGGAAAATGGGAAAGTGAGAAGAGAGAAGGAAGGGGACCATGTGTTCCCCACCCACAGCGTGACAGTACACTTTTTTTCCTCTTCTCTTTCTGTATTTCTGAGCCAAATGCTGGCATTAGGTTTAAAAGTGCCCCCTTACACCTGCATGTCTGCCAGGCTTCAAAACTCTGACAACCATCACCATCATCTTGACAGACTCTCAGAGTAATCCCGAGAGGAGGCAGGGCATATAACATTGTCCATATCACTTTACAGTGAGAGGAGGTTCGGAGAACCAGCCCTGGGGTCACATTGACTCATCGGGTCATGACTGTCATTTAAGGCTGCTTGGGATCAATGAATGGGCAGCAGGAAGCCTTGCCATCATCCCCAGGGGACGTGGATGGGGGAAAATCAACTTTGTTAAAATGAGATGTCTTTTCTTTGTAGTGCCTGAGGCATCTCAGGTGCAGCCACCCCTGCTATTCTCACATCAAGCTAAGGAGCCCTTTCCTGCTGAATGAAATCGGCTCTGTACCTGCTTCTGCCCTACAGCCACCTTTCCAACCACTTTATGCACTGCTCAGGCTCCAAAGAACAAAGGTATCCTTCCAGGTCAGTGCTTGGCAAACATATTGGGTGAGAATCCTTTGTGCAAATGTAATCTTATGTGGAAGTCCTACTGTAATATATACATCAAGGGCCAGCTGAGCGGAGGCAAAAGCTGGAGAGTCTGCAGCCTCTGGCCCTGCCCTGCATCCCAGTCCCCGAGTGGGGATCAAGGACCCAAAGACTAGCAAATGTTGATCTGCTCATGGCAGAACCCAGGGAGCTTTATGAGTGCCTTTAAGCATTTGGCTGGGAGGAATTCTAATATCCTCAGCCTGGGAAACTAGGGCGGAAGCAGAGTGTACAAGTATTTTTCAAGGGTAAGTTTATTTTGCTCATTTCTCTTGTTTTGCACTTCTGCTGTTCTGTGTTTCCCAGATGCACATTTAGTTCAGAGGACTGGGTCAGCATTTTTATTTTCGGTACAGGGAAGATCTTCCCAATAGTAAGAGCTGTTACATAAAAAAGATGAAACAGGATGTTTGGGGAAGTGGCGAATTCTCTGTTACTAGAGGAGAGGAAGCAGAGGTGAATGACTTCATTTACATATTCATGTTTTCACCCAGTTTGCAAAGATTCTGGGAAGGTCACATAGGATGAAGCCTTACCCTCACCATGGACCCCTCTTTCTCCTACCCTCCTCCTCGCGTTCATCTTCTGGGAGCACAGCACTCATTACCAAGGTCCTGTGCTCTGAATCCAGAACCTGCCCTGCCTCTATCTGCCAGTTAAACAAGCAGTAATGGCTAAGAGCATGGATTTTGCAGTAAAAGGAGATTATCACCCATGGCTCTCCCACTCAGCTGTGCAACTTTGGGCATGTGACTTAATGTCCTCAGCTTCTGTTTTTTCATGCAGTTTTTTTTTCAGTAAGATTTTGTGAGGTTAAATGAGATCTCGTGTGTGAAGGACTTAGTAAGGGCCTGGCACACAGTAGGTGCTTCATAAATGTAGCTGTTATCATCATCATCAAGTAGCCGAGAGAGAAACACGGGCAGGACTCATATGACATGCACAGCTACCTCCTCTCTCCACTCCACTTTCATAATCCCCAGTCACTTATAGATAAAGAGATCATTTCAAATATTGGCCCTGCAGGATTTTTGTAAGGGTTAAAGGAATATAGAGAGTAAGCTTTTTACTGACCCTAGCAGTTAGCAGTGCTTAATAAATTTCGATCTGGTTACCTACCAGCTATTCATGCTTCACTGTACTCCAAGCCCCTTGTTAAACAGTCTACACTCGTTTTCTTCCTCACCACAGCCACATGAGCTAGGAGCTATTATGCATTCGTTTTTACAGAGGTGGAAACAAGGCTTGAAGCCCATGCTCTGAACCTCCATGCTGCATGTCCTCCACGTGGCAGACATGACCACTGCCACACCTTGCTGGCACCCATGAAATGAGGGACCACATGACCACTGGGATGATATGAAAAGGGACCGAGTAGGTAAAGCACTTGCTATAATGTCTGCACGAGCAGACAGTAATACATGTGAATTCCTCTTCCCTTGTTCTTTTTCTAATCCTAATTCCCACAACGTGAATAGATTCTCACTCCGGCAGAATACACGATTCTGTCTCCCAACCAAACCTTCTCCAGTCTTAACCTCTGTGCACACTGCTCCCCTTTTGTGAAGTCCCTTCTGCGGCTCCCTCACAGCCTACCAGTGCTGTCACTGTCGTGAGAAGTCCCCTAGGGTGACACCAGGAGACTTCTACTCTATTTAACTTTGGCCGCATGCTCTGGGTCGTGTTACTCCATTACTTTTGGTATTCTACACTTTCCCTGAAAATCATATAATTTTGGTTTTCTTCCCCCCATCCACCATATACAAAGTGCTTTCAAAACCATCGTATAATTTATCCTGCAAAAGCTCTCAGAGTCAGGAAGGCAAAAAGTTCAAAGTTCACTTCACAGACGAGCAATCTGAAGCTTGGAGCTATGGCCAATTTGCCCGAGGAGCAGAACGTGGGAGGATAAAGACTCCGGACACAGGCCTTAGAGTTCATGTAAGTCCATTTATAAAACACCGTCTCACTATTTCATGTGTCTCTTCTTCCCAACTACTCAAAGACTAGTGTAGGTGTTAAAAATATGGCGCTGGGGTCCTACCAACCAGTCTTCATTGGACCGACTCCTGGCTCCTTCATTAAACAGCTGATTGACTTTGGGCAATTTGCTGACTCTTTCTAAGACTCACCTTCTTCATCTATAAAACAGGGACCCATAATAGTGGCTTCTTCATTGGGCTAGAATAAGGAGTAAGTAAAATAATGCACAGAAAGACAGGACTTAGAAACCAGGTACATAGTAATTGCCTGCTAAGTGCCAGCTATGACAGTCCTTGTTCTATGACTGTTATTACTGCTGCCATAACTTCCACAGGCTAGTCAGCACCGCTATTCTAGCACACAAGAATTGTGTGTTTTACTGAGTTCTTCCTGTGTCAGCATGCTAAGCCATTGCTCAGATGCTCGATATATTTTTTGAGTGATGCCTCATTAAGGAAATATAAAGTCTTCTTTGAGAAGACTCAAAGATATGACACACACTCTCTTGAAGAGAACTTCTTGGTGAAGAGTAAAAACAAAATTTCTTGGCTTCATCCCTTTCTCAGCTTTGAACCCTGTTTCCCCACATAGTTTACTTCATCATCTTGGTGACGCTGTGATTCTCCCCCTCCCAATGATGACGCTGTCAGGGGGAAAAGGACCACCCCCGTGGTGTCCAGGCACCTGCTCCGTGAGGAAGGAAGGCTTGTACGCGCCGTCTGTGGACTTGTTCCCGGTGCCCCTCATGGACTTCATGTGCGACACGGCCATGCGGAGGATGGTGAGCTTGTCCGGCTTCCGGGCCAGCGCGCTGCATGTGGGGACCATGTCCGAGAGCTCCGTGATGTACTGGGTCATCTTGTTCCTCCTGCGCCTTTCAATTTCACTATGATTCTCTCTTCCCAGAAAGCACGAGAGCAGCAGGGGCGAAAAGAGAAGTACCAGATTAGGGGTTACTATGTGACGGGATAAAATGACACATTGCTAACCCCAAGTGACCAAGAAACGGGGCCTGACTCGTGGTAGCCGGGTGCTTGGAATACGTATTGTGCAAAGCAGCTCTTCAGACACTTCCATAGGCTCTGGTATCTACATGTGGAAGCTTCTACAGGTTCAGTCTCTAAATAGGTATTACAATCTTCTAATTATTCCCATTTACTTAAATACTTTTTAATAAGCATAAAAATTAAGACATGATACTTCAGCAAAATAAAATTTTCCGACATGCTTTCTATGTGTACACGTGAATCTATACATGGAGGTGCACACATACACACAGACACACACTAAATGTAGTTACTGACTGCTTGAATATGTGGTTTACGCTGACCTTATATTAAGTGCTATATAGCCTTGCTATTCTTTTTTTTTTTCCCTTTTTTTGTCTTTTTTCGTGTCCGGCAACGGATCGCAACCCTCAGTGTTTAAGTGCTATATAGCCTTGCTATTCTTTATGTCACTAAGTAGACCACAAACTTACTTTATATAAGATTGTGAACAAACTTTGTTCTACATCCAACACATTTTCTGCAGCATAGTAACAGAATAGGTGCACCCCTGGCTTATTAAACAACAAATAGCTAATTAAAAAAAAAAGTACTGCAAGGAATTACTGAACTCAATCTCTGCAATGTGTTAAGACAGAAAACCAGCAGAAGGGATGGTAGAATGTTCCCATTTCAGGATTATTAACTTAGGCTTGAGAGAGAGTCACAGCCAACCAGCCTTGCTATTCTTTATGTCACTAAGTAGACCATAAACTTACTTTATATAAGATTGTGAACAAACTTTGTTCTACATCCAACACATTTTCTGCAGCATAGTAACAGAATAGGTGCACCCCTGGCTTATTAAACAACAAATAGCTAATTAAAAAAAAAAGTACTGCAAGGAATTACTGAACTCAATCTCTGCAATGTGTTAAGACAGAAAACCAGCAGAAGGGATGGTAGAATGTTCCCATTTCAGGATTATTAACTTAGGCTTGAGAGAGAGTCACAGCCAACCCAGTTCAACAACACTAAGACAAAGCTGTTACTTGGGATAAAAGAATTGTCTAAAAATACACCACCTGTCTGCTGCAGGATTTAGGGTTTTGCTGGTGCTCAAAGAACGAGAGTAACACTAACACCGGGAAAGGAACAACCCCGGGCAAGGCCGCCTCCAAACACCACAGGTATTAAATAGGCTTAGCACCCATCCTACCAGTCTGGGCAACAGACGTGCCAATCAGCCCTGATTACATGCACGTCCCACATGCTGAGGCTGCCTGTGAACATGCAAACAGGGGGGCACAGAGGGAGGGGGAGAGACTGCAGTAGAGATCACCGCAGCAAGCTGACCCGAGCTGTTCCGTGTGCACCTTCCATACACAAAGGGAGGGGGTGGTGGAGAAGACAAGGAACACCCTACCCCTGTCCTCAAGCAGCCGGGGTTTAATTAGGAAGGTAAAACATACACCTTGCACAGTGGAAATGAGAGGCAGAATATGAGTGAATACTCCAAAAAACAGTGGAAAGTAGAAACCACAAGAGAGGACAAGAGGGAAGAGGAGGAAGTGGTGCTAGGGCCACGAGGGGCTGGGAGAGGAGGGGAGGAGGACCCGGGAGGAGCTGTGCCTAACCTGTCAGTGGGTACTGGGGATGTCTTCTGGGATGGTGATCAGCAGGGTCAAAGAAAGACCTGTAATTGGGATGCAGCATGTGAGCGTGGTGAGCAGACAGGCCTAGATGGAAGGAAAGAGCTGGGGCCTGGAGGAGAGGGTCCAGGAGCAGGAGAAGCTGGGAAACGTTGCAGACCACAAAGAGAAGCTGTCAAGGCAGCCAGGCTCATAACAGAGGCTTGATGTTATGTGACCCTGTGGCTGGAGACCAAGGCTGAGACCAGCAAGGGGATTCTGGAGGCCTGGTGCTCTCTTCCTGCCCACAGGGAGAACGCTTGGAGCTGACCCACTGGAGTGGTGGAAACACACCAGTCCCAGCACAAATGCTCTTGCTCCACAGAGCAAACACATTCCTGGGTAGGGAAGATTAAAGGTAACCAGAGAAGAAGAGGGTTGGTGGGGGCAATCACAGAGAGAGAGAGAGAAGTGATGAAAAGGGGGAATTTGGTTAGGGGATTGCCAAGTTCCCCAGCGCATGCAGGAATCCTGCCCTGGAAGAGACACAGGATTCCTTTCCTCAAGCAGGTAAATAAGCATTGGCAGCTCCACTGAACTGGGTCTTCATCAGTATCCCCTGCACCTGTGCCCTCAGCTAGGCGCTTGTCACCGGTGGCCCTGGAGGCGCTGGCCGTGGTGAGCTCGCGGAGGTGTGTTCTCCCCCACCTCGCCGGCTCGCACTCATCAAGGCAGACTAGGGGGAGGTGGTACACAGAGGATACTGCCTGGAGCTGCTGAAGTGGCAGAGATGGCAGGCAGGGGCTCCGGCCACCTGCGGACAGTCTATTCATCGTGCAGGACCCGGTGCTTCATTCCACCTGTCCTGCACACGCCTGCCGGGGACCCTGGAGGACAGGACTTCCTCTCATCTGCTCAAAGCAACACGTGAAGTTGCTCGTGCCACCAGGAGTCCACGTTCCAGTCCCTCAGCCTGACTGTCAGGACCTCCCTAACCAGGCCTCACACCGCCCCCTCCTCTACTCCAACACGCATTCAGCTACTCATCGTCTCTCAGTGACACAGGAGTGTGAGGTCCACTCCTACTTGTCTTCAATTCGGCACATGTTTAATAGCTTCTTTCCTTTGAAATTCTGTCTCCATCGAGACTCTTGCAGACGCTCCTTGACCCCCCTGACCGCCCGCAGTGGCTGTCACCACTTTTCACCTTGTCTCTGACAGCCTCCTCTTTCTTCAGTCTCAT